TTGAGCAAAATTATCAAATTTTATCAAATATCGAAATCATTGCTTATTATTCATTATTCATTATATTTATTTTAGACTTATATGCCACTTCCTCCAGCTACAGAAATTACAGATGTACCAAAGTTACAATTTAGTCATGTGGAATGTTTAATGTACGCCTTTCATAAGTTGTGTAAACAAACTCCTGAATTTTTGATAAAGGATGCAGAGCAGCTCAAAGAATTTCGGTTAAGATTACAATATTTTGCAAGAGGTATTCAAGGTTATATAAAGAAATTACGTGAAGCTATTAGCGGAAAAACAGAAGAAGAACTGAAATCTGAAGAAAATCAATTAAAAGTTGTGGCATTAAAAACAACCAACAATATCAATACTTTAATCAAAGATCTGTTTCATTCACCTCCTAGCTTTAAAAGTATAATACATCTCTCGTGGAAAACACCTTGTAACGACAAAAAGGTTATTATTTTCAATATGATTATAACAAACTGTTTTGTAAATAATGACAACTATAATATTACATTCGTGAGTACTTTGACAATACTTTGATTTTATTAATTTTGTGAACGTTTTAGAGCGATAAAAATTCTGCCCAAAAAAGACATACACCAATCACATTTGGAAATGACAATAGTCCGAACAAACGTAGTAAGGAAGATAAAAACAGCAAAAGAGAAATATATACGCCTCCCAGTGGCAAATACAGTTCAACCATATCAAATTACGGTGAGTGGGCAAATATATAGAAATTTGAAAGAAATTTTAGTTTATTATATTATCATTAATTTTACTTACCTTTACTTACTTTTTTTAGGTCGTGGTAGATTTAAAGGTAACAGACCTAGAGGAAGAGGTGGATTCAGAACGAGAGGTCGTGGTTCATGGCGAAAGAATTTTTATTAACTATAAAACTCCTTACAACTGGAAACAACTAAAATTAGAGTAACAATATTAAGCGCCTATTTGCTTTCTGATATCAACAAAGCGCGCTTTCAAAGAAGTTATCACAAAATTAATTTTGTCAATCTTTATCACTACATATAACAGAAGTGATAGTGAAGACTTCGATAAATTCTCAGAACAGGAATCAGAAAATCAATAATTTCCCAAGCATTATGATACAGGAAGAAGATTTGGAGAATGCAATTGTAGCATTATATGAATATTTTTGTTTAATTATTGTAATACGAGTTGCAATGAAAATTCAAAATATTTCAGACATTTATTGTTATATAAAATTATGCAGAGAATGAATATACGCAAATAACAACGCAGGGAATGGAAAGTTATTTTTTAAAAGTAACAAGTTACAGTTACTCATTATCGAATCAAAAAAGTTATCGTTATTAGTTACTGATTTTTCAAAGTAACACGTTACAATTGTCGTTACTTAAAAAGTAACTATTCGTTACTTCGTTATTTTCTTAAAATCATTCTAAGATACAACTAATCTAAAAAAAGTACTTTTGCAATATATTTTGATTTTAAATGTTGATAAAAGCAACATACAACAATGACACTAGCTTTATTTTTTTAGTTTTTTCTTAAAAATAATTTCGTAATTCTGAAATATGTAAATGCGGCAAATTATATTGAGATATCTGTCCGACATATCGGGTAAAAATGTAAAATAATTTCTGAAATAATGGTACATTTCTCAAGCTGTCAAGAATCGCTGCAGGAATGCTGTAGCAGTTAATAATCAAGTATTTCAGGAATTACTTTATATTTCTATACGATATAAATATCGGACAGATATTTCAATTTGCCACATATTTTATAATTTTCAGGATTACGAGATTATTGTTTTTAAGTAAAAACTAAAAAAATGAAACTTACTGTAGTAATTTATTATATGTAATAACCCCCCCCCCCCCCCCTCTTATATCATCACGAGAGGGTCTTATATTTTAGTGAATACAATACGTATCCAATTGTGCAATCAGCACACACATATACACCAATTAAATTTTCAATCTTAAAACGCTATTCGACTGATATTTTTCATAAATTTTTCATAATGAAAATGCTTATTTATATAAATATATAATTAATTACTTGTAAATTTAATTTGTCATATTCCAGTTTTAATTAGGAATTGCGTTTCAAGACAAAACATTTATTTGGCGCGCAGTTTAGAGAATTTGATATATTTACAATTTCATTCTAATATATTACGCACAAAAATCAAGCTCAAATATAATATTTATCTTTTTAAAGCGATAAGTTATTAAATTTAATAATAAATATTTACCACAAAGATATTAACATCCGAAGACATTAAAACGATCCTGAAATCATAACAAATTATGAATATTAAAGACTGAAAATTGAGTAAACGAAAATTATATCATAATTATATATTGGGTTCAAAATACAAAAAGTAATTGTAAAACTCGTTACCGTTATCAAAAAAATGTCACTACGTTATCATTACAGTTATTAAAAAAGAATAGAACGTAATTACTAATAAGTCATCAAAAAAAAAAACTTGTAACTGTAACTCATTACAAGTAACGAGTTACTTCCATTCCCTGAACATACAGCACATGAATATATTAAGCAGGTCAAGAAAAAATATCGATTGGCGGATTTCATGAAGGAACTATATATGAAAAAAAAGAAGGAAGGAAAAAGATATTTCTCGTGGAGAACGAAATCATAATGATATTATTTAGAGAAATTGAAGAAAGTTCGATAAAGGTACATACACCAAAATGAAAATGCCACGTTATCAAATTCAAATTTAAAACTACACAATTGAGATACGGGACATGAATACACCGATCACGATTATGGAAATAGAAATAGTTCCTTCCTTGTAAAAAAATTTTAAGATTACAAAAATATAATCTCCTTTAGCCATTCCTAAATTAGCTTCCTCCCTTCCCTTTCCAAACCTTTATATTTATTGATATTTGTTAATATTTATCTGTTGACAGGATCGAACTGTGTATAACAGAGAATTCAAAATCAACCACGCATAACAGCTGTTTTATCGAAGAAACACCAGATAAATAATTTTCTATCGCTAAGAGAAATATTGTGTATATGTGCGTACAATAAATGACATTATTTGTTAAACTTCATGTATACTTATGCAAATGAAATAGATTTCAAATTATATACACACACACACACACACACACACGTGTGTGTGTGTATATAAAATTTGAAATTCTTCTGTTTTAATTTGCACAAGTATGTAAAAAGTTAACAAATACACATATCGCGCTTCTTCGAATTTTTAAAATATCTATATATTATTTAAAATTATATAATCTTTAAATTACCTATTTTTAACATAAGATATATATTCGATTGTAGGAAGAATAGTTCATAATTCTGTGTTTTTTCGATAAGATGAAGAGCAATGAAGAAGCAATTATTATATTGTTTTTCTTTTGCAGGAAGCATATTAACGAAAGACTGGGAAATTGGGAGGAGACTGTATCTCGGCGTATATAAATATTTTATACACACACACTTTTTTCATTACAGAAATTTTTCAGAAATGAATGCAGAAGCAGAGACTACTTGGAGAAACTAATTAATATTTTCCTTCCAGGAGTTGCGGTGGATATATGTTTATTATTATATGTATATATATATATATAAATATATCTCTCCTTCTCTCATGTGATTGCTGTTTGTGAGGTGAGTTTAAAAGGTATTATTCCATCTCTTTCCTTTCCTTTTATCCATCATTATCATGTAGAAAAACATGTGTTATCTATACAAAATTTGTGAATGTGTTTTTGATTATTTCAATAAATAACATTATTTAATACTATGTGGTATTCTTTTACCCAATAAATACAAGAAATGAGAAAATGATAAAAAGAAATCGATTTAATAAGATGAATTAATTGATTCTATAGGACCTATAAGACCTATATATAAGATAGGTAAATAAATTATATTTAATAAACAATGACAAAGAAACAAACGTTGACCAAAAAACAAGTAAAAACAAAAATTTAGCAAACAATAATAATTTCGAATTTACATAATCTATTTACGTTTCGACTTTACGTATTTTTTTTTAAATCTTTCTCGAAACAAGTCCAACTTATATGTTATTACAGAGAATAAAGCGCCATACACATTAAAAAATGCCAGAGAATAATGTAACAAAAGGCCAAACCAATCGAGATAAATTTTCTATAATTGATAAAAAATAAAATACTTTTTAATATAATATTAACAGTTCTTGTCTTTTTCATATAGTTTTTATTCATTTGTGCATTGCATTCCATTATTTGATTTGTTTAGATTTAATCTTCTTGCCTGAAATTGAATATTTGGACATCTAACTTTATTCGCCAGAATTATCGCCAGAAGATGAATCTAATATTAAAAAATGTTTTATTTTTTTACGACCAAATTTTTAAAATTTCTTTACGTTGTTAAGAAGGATTAAAGCATTGAGCAAAACCGTATTTAGAATGGAAAATTTTGTCTCGACTAGCCTTTATTACATTATTCTCAGGAGTTTTATATATATA